GATAATATGGGTTGTCAAAACAATATTCAATAATCATTGACAAGAGAAATTAAAACGAACAAATAATAATGCCAAGATGAATCAATAAACACAAAGCCCTATGGCCTGAATTAGACAATAAATCCAATCCTTGTGCTCTAAACTTTTAAAAAGTTTTTCTGTGTCTTTTCCTTTCTTTCTTCTTTGGAAGATTAAAAAATGTCTATAAAATCATGGTATCTAAAATTTATAAAGCAGTCTCCTAGGAGTTATCCTTGTATTAACTCATGTAATCTTTACATCATCAGGTGGAAAGCTCCTTATTTTGTGTTTCCATCTGTACTAGCCCTTTCTCTCCTGGGAGGAGTTGAGGGCACGTGGCTCAACCCTGGCCCTATCCTTTTATCATCTTTAAACCTTTACTAAGTTTGTGCCAGGCCATGAGATATGCTCAGCCTTGCAGGGGAAGTCTTCTGGCTGTCCAGCATGACCTCTAACCATAGTTCTTGAAGGTGAATTTAAGAAGCCCCCTGCTGCCATACACTTAGGTCACATCCTCCTGCCTGATATTTTGATCTCTGTCTAACTTTGCATCTCAGTAGTTTACAGCCTATGTTATAAATTGAGAGGGTCATGTCATCTATTGAAATGGCAGAGAACTACTCTCTGAGTTACCTACAATTTTTTAATTTACAGATGAATAAACTGAGGCACAGAAAGATAAAATAACATATTCAAAGTGACATTCTAGTAGGTGGCAGGTCCTGGGTCACACCACAACATTATAATAAAGAGGAAAGGAAACAACTGGAAGGTGGACCATTGGAACAAAAACTCAAATTATCTAAAAATAAATAATTTAGAATATCGACATGTTGGAGTTTTATATATTAAAAACCAACTCTATTTAAAAAATACATTTTGTAAACTCTACTGCCCCATCTACAGGCTAAATAGTGATTGTTAAGTCATAACTTCATTATTATAATTTGCATTTATTGAGGGTAATATTTAATATCTAATTTAACAAATAATTATTAGGTGTTTACTATTAGGATGTTCTGGTCTCCCGAAGATATACAGATGTGCAAAGTAAAATTCCTTCCTTTTAAATACATTATATCAAATAGATGAAAGAGTAAAAATTCACAAATTATAACGGGTACTAGATTGTGGCTAACTGAATGCTCCTGAATTAAGTATCAGTACTTAATGAACAGCTTGTAAAGATCATCTAGGACAATATAGAGATACAAAGCAGAGAAAGAATTCATGAGTAAAATGTAACCACAAACTAAAATAATAATTTCAACTTTTGGAACATTTTTATTTTCCTTATATGGCTTTTATCTTTCACATATACCATTATTTTCACTTTGAAGAAATTTCTGATTACTTGGATTATTTTTTTATAATCCTATTCTAACACATATTGAAGAGAAAAATACATACATACATAGACAGATATACTGGAGGGGTCTTCTCAGATAGGACAACAACATTGATATGACGTGCCTGCCATTTCTGTTCTAAAAGAAAAGGCCTATACCATTTATGTTATTTTAAACTGAGAAAATGAATGCATTAGGTAAGCCTGCCACCTAGTGAAAATCTAGGATCAAGTAATACTTACATATTGAAATACCATATTGTACTGCACTTTCTAGAGTAATACTTGTATCCAATTATATTTTACATTTAAAAATTTGGTTGTCTATTAACTTAATTATCTATCTTCAAAATGCTGACTGTAAATCTATTTGTTTTAATATGAATCAAATATATTTTGAATGTAGAATATTTTAGAAATCAAATTATATAAATTTCCTTTCCCTAGGCATTAAGGTCAGAGTAGAACAATACTGTAATTAAAAATAATAGCTTTTCTACAAATTGTGATTAAGAAACGTAAGTATAATTGCGAATATGTGTAAAATATCTACGGACAAGTTATCTGCTTGCATTAATTTATTTGATAAGTATTTTTGACATGTTCAGTTATGCTAACCAATATAAAAATGGAAAACAAACCATATACTCTACTTTATAGGCTATGGAAAGAACTCTGAAACTAATTGCATTAGTATTTTATAG